ACATCAAGTGTTCGACAAATTGTTTTTGTTTGTTCTTTTGATAATTGCATTGGATACAACATTGCTAGTAACTTGATCTAAACGATTCATAAAGTGTTACTTGATTAAATTCCAATTAATTCAAATTATCATTTTCATTCTATTTGCAACTTTTATATTTGTCTATCCGAGTTCCAATAACTAAGGTTCGATAGACGACACATTCTGTGAATCTTTCGCGTGCACTCTTTTCAATTCAAAGTTTTTAAAACAATTTTAAAACTTAAATTTTGGCTTGGTTATCTATTCACCTCCCTCTAGATAAGGCACCACCATCTAACAAAAATGCATTCTTCGAGAGACCAGATGCTGATATGAAGAATCATCTGAAGCCCTTATTTATCAAGGAAAAAGTAGAAAATATGGGAGTTAATAAGGTCCTGATTGATGGGGGCGGCTGTAAACTTGATGCCTCACTTTTTACTGAAAAAGATTGGTAAATTCCACACCAATCTCCGACCTCATAACAAGGTCATGTTGATTTATAAAGGAAAAACAAGCTCCACTTTAGGAGTGATTCAGGTAGACATCATTGTTGGTTTGATAACTAGGCAAACAATTTTCATGGTTATTGCTTCAAAAGCTAGCTATAATTCACTTCTTGGAAGGGAGTGAATTCATGGTGTGGGAGCAGTTCCTTCGTCACTCCACTAACGAGTTGCAATATGGAGGGAAGACGGGATAGTCGAAAATATTAAAGTAAACCAAGGCTACTTCATGTCTGAGATTAATCATGTAGATAAACGAAACTTTGATAGGAACTTGGCCAACATAACGCTATGTCCACCTGCAGGCTTCGATTACAAGCCTCTAGAGGAGGAATTTTTCTATCTCACTATCCACCATACCCATGGTTTCATTTGGGATAGAGAGATAATGTGAAATGTTGAATATGAGGGTGAAATCTGGCTAATAGGCTGGAGAAGTGAATTCGACAGTGGTGTCTGAATTCGATGCTCTGCAGCGAATTTTGGCTTATGTAGTTGAAAATAGTTTAAAAGTGGCCTTAGAGGATAAAGTTTAACACATGTCTATCAAAGGCAATGAGGTTAAAAAAATTATGTGGCTCATAGGGTAAGAATTGAGCCAAAGCCACCAAACAAGTCGTTGACAACAGGCATGCAAGATGGGGGCGAAAGCCAAAGGCTTGACTACATCTATGACGATGAGCCTTTCATATTAGAGAAAGATCTAGTTGTGTCACCAATGAAGATGCAACCCCAAGATCCCCTAGATGAAATCAACTTGGGCGAAGAAGATGATAAAAGGCCAACGTAAGTGTGAACATCGATTCTGACCTAAAAATCGAGGTAATAAATTTACTAAAAGAATTTAAGGATTGTTTTTGCTTGGAATTATAATAAAATGCCAGGTTTAAGCATATATTTGGTGGAATTAAAATTTCCAATAAAGCCTGGGAAAAAGCTGATAAAGCAATTAGCAAGATTGTCCGCCCCATAAATTATGTCAAAAATAAAGCAGGAGATCGAAAGGCTTCTAAAAAGCAAGTTAATTAGAACTGTAAGGTATGTTGAATGGCTTGCAAATATTGTACATGTCATTAAAAACAATGAGACTTTAAGGGTATGCATTGATTTCAGAGATTTGAATGTCGCGACCCAAAGGATGAATACCTTATTGCTTGTCGCCGAAATATTAGTTGACTCAGCAACAGGGTTTGAATATTTGAGTATGCTTGATGGTTATTCTGGATATAACCAGGTTTTTATTGCAGATGAGGATGTGCCGAAAATGGAATTATGTTGCCCAAGAGCCTTAGGCACCTATGAGTGGGGGTGGTGATGCCATTCGGTCTGGAAAATTTCGGGGCAACCTACCAAAGGGTAATGAACTCTATTTTCTATGACTATATTGAGACATTTATACAGATTTATATTGATGATATAATGATTAGGTGTGCGTCGAAACATGGTCATTTAGACCATCTTCAATAGCCATTCGAAAGAATGAAGAAGCATGGGCTTAAGATGAATCCTCTTAAATGTGCATTTTGTATATAGAAAGGAGATTCCTTTGTTTTCGTTATCCACAAGAAGGGAATCAAAATAAATTAAAGTATAACAAAGGCCATTATGGAGACGAAGCCTTCGTCAAATAAGAAGGAACTTCAATTGTTGTTAGGGAAGATCAATTTCCTAAGAAGGTTTATATCAAACCTTAGTGGCAAGACACATGTTTTCTCGCCATTACTGCGCTTGAAGAATGAAGGTTTTATATGGTGGTTGGAGCATCAAAAGGCGTTCAACCAAATAAAAGAATATTTGATGCATCCTCTAGTGTTGGCTCCGTCGATTAGAAATAAGAATATGAGATTGACATTTCTGCATCGAATTTAACAATAGGAAGCATGTTTTTCCAAGAGGATGATAATGGCGTCGAATGACCCTTTTATTACCTTAGTCGAGTTTTAAATAATGCAGAAACTAGGTATAGGTTGATTGAAAAGTTGTGCCTTTGTTTGTACTTTTATTGTATGAAACTTAAGCATTATATAAAATTAGTTGATGTTTATATCATTTTGATATTATTAAACACATGCTATCTAAGCCAATTCTTCATAGTCGAATTAAAAAATGGGCATTTTCCTTGACATAATATTCTTTAACTTACATGCCTCTAAGGGAAATGAAGGAGCAAGTGATCGCAGACTTTATAGTTGACCATGCAATTGTCGAAACTCCCCAAAATTATCTGGAACTTGAGCCTTGGAAATTATATTTTGATTATTTTATCCATAAAGATGGGACTGACATTGGATTTTGATTATTTCTCCCAACAAAATTCAAGTACAAGATAGATGGCCATTGCTCAAACAATGAGACTGGATATAAAGCTTTGATAGTTGTCCTAGAAATTCTGTTGGAATTGGGGACAACTAAAGTCGAAATAAGAGGAGATTTTGAATTAATTGTCAAGCAGGTAACTAAAGAGTACAAATGTGTCAAAGAAAACATGATAATGTACTTTGTGATAGCAAATTGACTGTTGCAAAAATTTGATTTTGTGAACATTCGACACATCCCTCGACTAATAAATCAAGAAGCTAATGACTTGTCTCAGATTGCTTTTGGGTATAAAGTGGCGAAGGAGAAGTTGTAAGATTCGATTGAAGTTCGAGTAAGGGCGATGGCAACTAGATTATCTCCATCATATTTGACAATGACGAAGTTGGGATATGCACATGAAGAGAATTTTAAGATATTGGCTATTGAGATTTTAACGGGCATATTTAGCCCTGACAAATGTACATAATGGGCATGTGGAGCACATCAAGTAGGTCATAAAATAAAGTGGTTATTATTTCGACAAGGGATATATGACCTACTATGTTGAAGGATTGCATTGAGTTTGCTAAAGGGTGTCAAGAATGCCATATACATGCATGTAATCAACATGTCCATACAAGCGAATTACACTTTATAGTAAAACCTTGATCTTTTAGAGGGTGGACTTTAGATTTGGTTGGTGAAATTCGACTGACATCATCTATGGGCCAGACATCTTAGTGGGTATTGATTACTTTACTAAATAGATTGAAGCCATAACTTTGGTTAATGTCTCGACCAGGAGGCGGTCATTGATTTTATCCAAATGCATATAATTTATAGGTTTGTAATCTCTGAGACTATTACAATTGGTTAAGGATTGTTGTTTATTGGTTGAAAAATGCAAGAATTTGCTAATGAAATATAGATTAAATTGCTAACGTCTACGTCTTACTATGCCCAATCAAATGGTCAAGTCGAAGCAACAAATAAAGTGGTTATTGGATTAATAAAAAACATGTGGAGAAGAAACCAAAAAAATAGCATAAGACATTAGATCAAATTTTATGGACTTGTCGAACTTCTCCCAAATAGGCTACAAATACTACACCTTTTCGATTGATGTTGTCTTACAGTCAAAATATATCTCCAATCAACTAGAGTTCAAGACAAAGCTAAATCACATTTGAACATTATTGAAATGTGATGTTAGATGAACTAGTTGATTTGAATGAGGAGAGGGTAAATTCTTTGGAAATGTTGAGAAGACAGAAAGAACGAATAGCGAAAGCTTATAACAAAAGAGTCAAAATTAAGGCGTTTTCAACTAGAGATTTCGTTTGGAAAGTAATTTTACCTGGATAAAAAAAGATGAAACATTAGATAAATGATCCCCTAATTGGAAACGTTATCAAATAGTTAGCAGCGGATCAACATATTTGAAAAATTACAGAACCATACTTCATGAAATCAAAATCTCAAACAGATACCTGAATTAAAGTGTCAAAATGACTAAATTCATTACAAATAGTCAAAGGTGGAAAATTGAAAAGCCACAAGATTTGGTTCAGAGTTGCAAAATAATCATATTTTGCTTTGGACAAGGTCAGGCAGCAATCAATCAAAGACTTGCTTGAAGTTAGGGTGGCGATTTCGTTTTCCAAACGTTGAGCTCTTTCAACGTGATGCACCCCCACTGCAGTCTCTTCATCAAGCTTTTTGCAATCTAAACTTGACGTTGGCTTGCAACTCTTTTATTTGTTGCTCTCAGACGGAAATGTTGCAGCGCATTGGAAATGTTACTAATGTGCTACCAAAACTAATTTCACTTCTATGGCGTTGCTGCCCCACATTGGAAATTATGAACCAGAATTTATATCATGGATTTACAAAAAAATATAGAATGAGAGTGAAATTTTATATTAGTTAGAGAGTAGTTAAGTTTGGATTTTCTGATGTACCTCTTTCTCCAGTTTAGAATTTTCTTGAGGACTAATGCACTGCATACCCAGTGATGAATATTATGAAAAATAAGTTGAAAATATCATAACTTATTTTTATACTCTTACAAACATTAACAAAAGTACATCATAAAATATATTCAAATAAACTCTTCTATACTTCTCCCTTAATACATGGCGGCACTAACACATAGAGGGTGAGTGGCTAAGATCATTAAACAAGAGGATTGAGCACCTGACCAACAAAGAGGATTGTTCCTGTCAAGTCTTCCCTAATCACAAATAAGAAAGGACGGTCAGCTACAAAGTCTACTGGAGATGGAACACGCATACTCCTTAATAGTATTGTTGCTGCTGTGGCAGCAGCAGCTTCTGTGCCTTCTTCATTCACTTCAATGAAAGACTTGTGAAATATATTAGAAACACAAAGGTTTTGACCCTCAAGAGAGTCTACCATTTTTGTCAAACCTCCTGTAGAGAAAGGTAGAACCACTCCTAACTCTTTCAGTAAATCAGAAGTTTCAAGCCCAAATGAAATTTTGAATCTCGGAATCCTGAAGTCACCTACTTCCACTTGTTGAGAAGGAAGCTTGTGATCAAGTAACTCAGATTCAGAAGCCACTTTCTCAACCAAAGCTGATAATCCATCTTTTGCATTTGGAAGAAAAAAATACATAGAGAATTGCCGCTTATCCTCGCCTTGCTTATAAGGAAGACCAAGGACTTTAAAATCATTGAATTCTCTAATAAACTGTTTCTTCTTGCTGGTCATGAAGGGAACCTTGACTGAGCTACCATTCAAAAGGTGAAAATCGTCATCTTTGGTTAACGAGGCATCAAACTTGTCACTCCATGCTCCTTTAAAGTAAAGTGCATTAGCAAAGATGAGCCTGGTTGAGCTGTTAACTGATCCTACAGGAACAAGTTCTTTAATGAGGCCATTAGTTTCTTTTTCAGCCCATAAATTCACTTCATTGGTCACTTCAACAGCCTTCAAAACCATATCAAATTTAAGAATCAATTGCATAAATAAATAAGTTGAATATAAGAGTTTAATTTTTTGTTAGTCTAGTTCATGAATCGCTAAAAACCAAAAGTAGTGAACTATGAAATTGAAACCCTAACACAAAATTAAAAAAAGGGAAAAAGAGGAAGATATTAGATACATATACCTTGTTCTGGAAATCTACGGATGACAAATTGGCTTTGAAATCAGCAGACACGATTTGTTTGAAGGAAGGTTGAAGAGATAGGGTTTGTTCAATCCACACACCATCGACGAAAGAGAGGAGAGGTCCGCCGGCGGGAGCAGCGTCGGTGAGGACGACGGAAACAAGCTGAGAGGCGAGGGAGTTGAGATGATCGGTGGATTTGGATCGGAGGAATTGAAGAAGCTGTTGCTGTGTGGGACCGTCGGAACCAGCAGCGATGATGCTAAGCACAAGTTGGAGCGACAATGGCGATAACACGATGTTGTTATCTTGATGAGATACTTTCGAGAACAAATGGTTGGCGATGGTGAAGGAAACGTTGGTTTGGTAGGTTATTGATTCACGGAGGTCCATTGTTTCTTGTTCCGGATTCTAAACAGATCTAAAACTTTTGAGCTTTATTCCTCTTCTGAGCATCTCAATTTTGAGATTGGCTATTTAATGCGACTATTAGCAATAGTTTCATACTATGCATTCTGTGTGTGTAAGTGCCACCGTGTCTCTCTCGGTCCTGACGTGTTGTTCTCTTACATTCACATTTCCTCTCAATGCTTGCCGACTAAGTTTGGAATTTCATACTTCTTGGGCTTTTCCGAACCAGCTGTAAGCTTATTAGATTTTCTCTTGACACCCTTATTTTTTTCACATAAAGTACATTTTCAAAATTTAAAGTGCATCTCCGAACAAATCAAATTTTAATTTTAATTTTTAAAAGATTTTCGAATATATATCAAAAATAACTCAACTTTAAAATTTTAAAGGTGTTTTCAAATATAAATATCTGAAATAATTCAATATATATATATATATATATATATTCTAACAAAATTAAGATGTATCAATTTCAATAATTAAAATCAAGGTGTATCAATTATATTAATTATATTATCTTATCAATTATTTACATAACTTTTATATATTTTTAATGTGTTAGAAATGAAAAAATATTATTTATTTATATAAAAATATTTATTTAATATAATAATTTTTTTAATTAAACATAATAATCAATTGTCAATTTCATAATAATAATTAAAAAATTTCATCTAAATTGAATTTAACTTTTAAAATTACAATTAAAAAATATTTTTAATATTTTTTCTAAAAAATTATTCATAATTTTAAATAAATAATTAAAAGATAATTATATTTCACCATTATAATTAAAATTTTAATTATTGCACATTGTTTAATTTCATATCATAAATTTATTTTTTAATATTTAATTTTTCATTATAAATTTAAGTTATTTTTTATTAATAATAACTCAATTAAATTATAATATAATTACATTATATTATAAATAAATCTCTTTTCAAAATAAAATTAAAATAAATTTGGGATATTGGATGAGTTCGGATATGCATATCCGAAGTCACCCAATTTAAGTTTTTTAGAGGTTATTTCAGATATGCATATTCGAAATTATCTATTCCAAATTTATAAAGTGTGTTCGGAAGTGCATATTTCAAAAGTATTTTTAGATTATCAGGGATGAAAATCACCACTATTAAGTGTAAAGAGAAATTCTCTAACTTTAATCTATACACTTTTATCAAAATGTTTTTAAATAAAATAAATAAATTTTTTAGATTTTTGATGAACTTTTGTAATGTATGGGATATTTGAATAACTATACTAAATTTTTAACAAAATCATTGTATTTTAGAAAAATGAATGACTTTTTATCGAATTTTCTTCGGATTTACGAATTCTTTATGAAGTTTTTTAACTGTTTTTTTAAATATCTGATTAAATTCAAGTGTTTTGGTTAATTTTTTTTAATGTTTCGGATGAATAGATGATATTTAAGGTACTAAAATATCTCTTCAACTCTTCACAATCTTCTTCTAAGTCCAAATGTGTCCCACTCTATTCTTCTGTGACTTCATACTCTTCAATGTGTAATTTCTTCCAAAATAAATGAATGTTTCTAATGGAATATGGTAACCTTGTATTTGAAGATCTACAAGTTCACACGCTCAATGTAACCCATGTGTTGTCCTAATGAAGTAACCACACATAACTTTGTCAAAACCAACAAGTTTACCTTTTCCAACTCCTTTAAAATGTGTTGTATACATTGTCTTGATATGAAGTCCTAAAATTTAGAGTAAAATAGAGTGTTATACCGATACTCAATATTTGAAACCTTTTTTGAAATGATGTTTTGATTGTACCTAATTGCAGCTTCAACATGGTGTTTAAAGCATCTCAACTTTTGCACTAATCTCCACAACTCGTTGTCAATATATTTTTGAGTTTCTAATGAGCATACACAACCCTAAAAACAATAATTGATAAAGATGTAATAAATAAATTGATAAATATTTCTATAACAAAATCAAACTCGAAATGGTGTATCTGTTTGTTATTGTGTTCACAAAGTGAGTGACTCGATTAGTCCATGCAGCAACAAAATTTTCTTTATAGCGTGTCAACCATGTTTGGTGCACATACTCAACATATAAAGGGATATCAACACATATTACCTGAAAATGTATCAATTGTTGCTCAAACTCATACTCATTATCTGAATACATGATTTTTTCTATAGATCCATAACATGCTCTTGCCTATTAGATCCGACATACTCCTTGTACTTCATGCTAACATTTTTTAAAATACGAAATATGCACAGCAAAAGAATTGAGGGTTGGAACACAACTTCCATGGAATTCATCAGGGAAAGGTCCAGATCCATCGCCATGACTTTGGGAATCAAATTATCGGATATGAACAACTTATTCAGCTTCTCCATTGCCCATTTAAAGTTTTCCTTCCATTCACATTTCAAATAAGCAAATCCAACCGAAAACATTAACTTCATTGACGTAACACCAACAATCCTGTTTGTTTTGTATATACACTCACAAATCAGCACATTATGAAATATGTTCATCAACTTCACAGAATCAGGTTGTGTCACATCATATATCAGCAATAACATTTGTTTTATATGTATAGTAAAAAACCATCTTCATATAGTCAATAATATTAGTGAAGATAAAGGAAAAATTACATATTTGAGGAAGTCGATACCTATTTATTTTGTACGTAGAATAAAAAACTAGGACCAAGTGAAACGTGTCAACAGCCTTACTGAATCAGGTTGTGTCCAAAATATATCAACAATAGCATCCGATTTCTCCCATTTTTTGGCCCAATACATGTATTTCTCATCGTGAATTAGTTTCAACTAATCCTTTTTCATCCGATTTTATTTATAAAAATAGTTTGAAAGGTAGACGAGTATTTGAAAGGATAGATGTTGTACCCCAAAATTTTCCCTCCCATTCTTTACATAAAATCACAACCCTAGGGTTTCTCAGGTATTCAAGAATGGCTCAGGAATCGATCAGACAGATTTTCTCCTATGGCAGTAAATCAGGAATTAGGGTTTTTCTCGAATTTCTCAAAAGAAACTGAATTCTCAGAAAGTCAATTGGCTGTCACATATTTTTATGCTCTCTCAAATTTACTGGAAAAAGGCAGTGTTTGCTTGATCCAGGTTAACCAGATAAATTGCGTCTTTTCAAAACATTTGCTCGTTTAGGGAATAAACGTTTGCTTGTTTATTGGAATACACAGTGCGTGTTTTGATTGGAGTACAGTTGCAAGGTTATAAGATTACAGAGTTATTGGATTACTTGGAGTTTAAGTTATTTGGATTGGAATTATTGGAATGCAGTTTCAGTTATTTTTAATCAGGAATCTTAAAGGATTAGTGAAGATGCAAAGAAAGAATTACAAGTTACTAACAGTAATGGATTATATTGGATATCAGATTATCTCATAAAGACTTTCTTCATTTATTTCAAATGTTGTTACAAAATAATTTATTATTCATATGCTTTAGGTTTTACAACTTATCGTACTTGGAAAATAAATTAATACAGCTGATTGAAAATCTTTCTAAGTTACAAATCTAAGCCTAAGCTTCCATTGATCCCATGCTCGCCACAAAGTCTCCTGCTTCCTCTGCTTTGTCACCATCCAATTTGCGCTCACATGAAAGAAAGACAGAAAAAAGATTAGTACAGTTAATTGAACATAAATAAAAATTTCAAAAAGAAAGAAAAATGTTCATCATTAAAGTTTGCCGTTTGGAATCAGAGGGCTATTTTCATTTCATCACGTTTTTATTTTTCTCTTTGCAAATCACAAGAAGATTTCTCTTCTTGGTTCACAAAAATAAAAATAAAAGTGCAAGCATTACAAAGTACAAGGCAACTAGATAGTAGCAACAACAATGCAAGCATTACAAGCAAGTAACTCAGCAGGCGCGCAAATTGCCTAAGGCAAACTGAACAAAGCCAAACTGAACAAGGAAAACTCAACAAGGCCAAACTAGACAGAAGCAAAACAAAGTACAATGCAGCATGGCAAGTACAAATATCAGAAAAAAAAGTACAGAGCAGTATGGTAAACCAAATAACAAGCAAAAGGGCTTGTTGCATATAGCCTTTTTTCATCATTTTCCTAAGAGTTGGCAAACTTTTCAGAGAAAACAATGGAAAAGCAAATTGATTTTATCATTGAGAGAGGAGAGAGAGAAAAAGATATCACCTAAATTATGGGAAAGGTACATATTGGCCATCTTACCCACAGGCTGTAAGAGAAAAGCAACTAGGATATAACAGTAGGAAAAACTGCAAGAAAGGAGGAGAGAACATTTTGCAAAAACAGAGAAATCCCAAGCTAGAATTCCAAACTGTAACAAAACATTTCAAAATTGTTAACAATTCTCAAAAAACCTCCAAACCTATGAACCAACAAACAACAACAATAACAACCTGCATAACAGTTTCAAACAGGGCCAAACCATAAAAAATCCCAGGCCTGCAAACTGTCTACAAAAACACAGTTTGTCAAACAGCAAACAACCATTTTCAAAGCCTAACAAAACTGTACAACAACAAAATCATCATTTTCCATCTCAACGACCAAAAACCTGTTATCAAACCAGAAAACAGCCAAAACACTTAAACATGTAAAAGCCAACAAGCTAGCCAAAACTCTCAAGCCTACCCACAACTGTAACAACAATTTCAAATAGCCAAACCACAAAAAACACTCAAAACCTGCATAACTCAGGAATACACCAACAACCTTCAGCAACTCAAACCACAAAAACCTGCCAAACTGTACCTAAAACCCAAAACTTACAGAACCTAACTACAAAAGATTCAAACTATCAAAACATGGTTCAAAACCAAAAAACTTGAACTCATTTCAAACAAGCCTGAAAACTGTAAAACCAAGCAAATCTTTAAACTAACCAACAATCATCCTCAAGCTAGCATACAGTCTAAACATACAGACAAAAGTTTCATAAGCAATCATCATCAAAC